TTTTTAAAATACTTCTAATGGTGCTGTAATTCTTGGGTTCCATAGTAGATCTGATGTAAATTAGCTTCATATTAACTATTTTTATATAGAGGTAATTCTATATATCACGTATTATAAAACTGTTAATTATATAATCATGTTACAAATTTTTGAACCCTGAAATTCTTGGTAGTACCAATGTTCACTTTGTCTGGTTTTGTTGCAAATTAACTTCATATTAACTATTTTTATCTAGGCAAATATTGTAAATCACATACACTGTTAATACAATTGTGATGTTAAACAAGCACTATATATTGATCCCAATTCTTGGTAATACCAATGTTCACTTTTGTCTGGTTTTATTGTAGCATGCCCCATATAAGCCAACAACTATACATCTTTTTCCTCAATATGTTTATGATAATGTTTTAATACAATCAATGAAAGCATGTCTAAAAATTATGTAAAAATTAAAATTCTACAGTACTTTATTTTGTTAGCCTAAAGTAAACAAAGTTTTTGTTATTTCTAGGATATTGAGGTTATTAATCAAATCATAAATAATATAATTATTAGACAAACTTCCAGATCCATTAAATCGTATATATTCATAAACTCATAAGTTGTTAAGAGATTGATTATATTAGACTAATTAATAAAAGAAAATTAATTTTGCAAATGAGTTGAGAAAAAAATTTCGCGCCTTTATTAATATTTGTTAAAAGCATATGTCAATTACATTTCATTGATAAAGACAACCAAAATTTATTCTACCCATGAATTTAATATATATATATATACTGTATGTTCCAATGAGTAGAGTTGTTTAAGAGAAAAGAATAAAAATATTTACACAAATATATATATCTATTACTATATACGAAAATTGGAGATTATATGGACAAGTAAAAAGAAAAGGAAAATCAATAATTCCCACTTTAGAATTTTAACATTTATATCTCTTAGATGATCGTTTTCTATCATAATTATCATAATGTTCATAATGAGATTGATAACGATGTTGTCTTGATGATGATGATGATGATGATGATGATGACGACGATGATTGTCGGGGTTGATGTTCTTGATTATATTCCTGTCGATGTTCACGGCGATATTCTTTATTATTATGATGATGTTGCTTTTGTTGTTTTTCTTGATAATGATGTTGCTGCTTTTCTCGATAATGTTGCTGTTGTAGTGAAGAACGTGGGCCAAAATCTTGTATCGGTTGTGACGTAGTTTGAGAATAATATTGATCATATGAAGAATATGCAGGTGGAGATGGAATAGCTTGAAGCCCGGGTGAACCATGATGTGTTGGTATAAACGAGTGTTGATTATTTTGTAGTGGTGATGGTTGTATAGCAGTTTGATATTGATTTGGGTATTGAGTTGAATATTGTTGTGCTTGTGGCTGTGGTGATGGTATAGAAATATGAGATTGATTAAAAGATATAGGAGAAGGTGCTGTATTATTGAATGGTGATAGTTGAGCATTATAATGGCCAGTCGTTGCTGACAAATTTTGTGTTGGTAAGTTATGTTGTGCAATGTTTTGTATATTTGAATTTGCCAACAAGGTTTGAAAAAATTCAGAAAATTCTCCATTAGATGTTGAAATCACTGGCAAATTGTTTGTGTAGGAAGGCTGTGATTGTTGAGAATTAGGTGGCTGTAATGATTGTGGAGTGGCATTTTGTTGTGATTTAATGACAGTGTCGGTTTCAGGTTTTTCATTTTGTTTATTAGATCCAGAAATTGATTTAACAGGTTCATCATGATGTGATTTTTCTTTTTTATCTAGTCTATTGCCACCTTTACTGCTGATATGATTTGCATTTGCATCACTCACATCACGTGGACGTTTTAATTTACCTGATTCAGCTTCAACTATCACTATTGCGCCTAACAATAATTTCGAGTCACGTTTATTACCATCAGTTTGCGGTATCAAGATCTCATCATATTCCAAAAATGTTACTACATCAGGTATTTTGTCTTCAGGTTCTATTGGTATAAGGTACAGTTCTCTAACAGTAGTGTATGTATTCGCCACACGACCATAACGAATATGCCTATCTTTTGGTGAGTAGCGTAGATAATTAAACATACTATCAAATTGTTGTTTATCAAAGAAAGTATCATCTACTTCAAATTTAATAAAAACAACATCTTTTGATGGTGAACACCAGCAATCAATCAAATATGTATCAGCCTGTTCAACGCGTGACACGTGTCCATTAACTCGAATAGAAGCAGCGAGATATTCATCCCAGTTTCGAACTTTATCAAGTTTCTTTGCTGCAACAAGACTTGCCTGTCCCGAAAACCTTGCCACGCCATCATACAATAATCTTCCTTTCCAAACTGTGATTGGTTCGGTTATAGCATTGTTTTGTGGTTCTCCTGGTGGGGTTTTAGAAGGACTTCCAAAGGATGATGATACAGAAGATGATAAAGCTCCAGGTGAATATGGAGGCGAATCCATCACTTGTTGTGGTAAATTCATAATCGTGTTTGATACAATTGGCACTGTTTTTTTTTTAATATTTACATAATTGTCTGTTGCCTTTATTTCTTTATTATTATTACCATTATTGGAATTTGCAAGAGAAGTTTCCTTATCATAAATTACAGCGGCCTTTGTTTCCATATTTTCTGTAGACTTTAAAATTGATGTATCTTCTTTTGATGAGTCATTATTATTAAAAGCAGCAAAATTATTAATGGCGATAGTAGGAGAAATAGTGATAGAAGTAGCAGTAGCAGGTGATACAGTATCACTGCCTAAGCTTGTTTTTCTTTTGGGAATTAAATCTTCTATATTGATTTTTGGTCTAGTTGGACTAATACTAATAGAACTGGTGGATTTTAGTGTTGGTGTATTTTTATCTTGGTGTGGTGATGATGTTGATGAGCTGTCATTTTTTGATGAATCTAAAAAGTCTCCAACAATAATGTATTCACCTTTATGAGTTTTTTTAATTCTAGGTCCCATATCTTCAGCTTTTAAAACAGATTGTTGCATGCTTTCCCTACGAACTTTTACCATTAATGATTTTTGTTCTGGATTAGCCAATTCTTCCGGGGTCATTTGTACCAATTTCACTATTGGGATATCACCCTTAACAACATTTGTCAACAATCGATCATTTTTTGGATGTCCTAAACTTGTATGAAGATTTCGAAATTTTGATTTATAAGGTTGACCTAATGGTTCTTTATCATTTTTTGTAGCAAAAGCATCATGTATAGCTTCTTCAAGTTTTTGTGCAAGTCTTCCACCAAGTTGATCAATCGTGTCATCAGATTTTGGTAAGTCATCTTTTTGATCCAAGTCTTTATATTTTTTAACAAATATTTCTTTAAATTTCAGAGTACATAAAGCTCTTAAATTGGAATCATATAAAGAATTTGTTGGCTTTTTGGCTTGAATTTGTAATTTTTTAATTGAACCTTGACCAGACTTTTTAGAAATAGCAGTCTTAGCACCACCACTGCTGCTACCATTATTATTATTAGTAGCAGAAACACCAGCAATACTTTGCACACCATTTACATTAGTTGACTGTAATTTACTACTACTAGTCACTAAATGTGATTTCATAGAAGCATTTAAAACTTTATTTGTAGTAGTTTTAGAAGAAGGGGGGGAAGAAGAAAGAGTGAACTTTGAGTGTACCTGACTTGGTACTTTTTTTGATTCTTTTGTAACAACAAAAGGTGATGATACAGGTTTTTGTGTCTGTGATTCAACTCCTTTAAATGTTTTACTATCTAAATTTTTACTTTGTAAATAACATACTTCATCACCACAATATGAATTATTTTTCTGCGTAGAATTTGAACACTCCTTATTCAGACATTTGGTTTCCGAATTTAATGATTCCTAATTTAAAATTATTAATTTTAATTATTAAATAAAACAAAAACAAAAATAAAAATAATAAATAAAATTTTTACATCATTAGTGTGTTTCACAATCATCGAAGCCTTCGGATCAATACCAAGAGGTTCAGGTAATGGGCATTCATCTATACAATTTTTTTTTTAAAAAATTTTTTATATATATATATTATATTAGCCATTTGAATACGATTACATTTATGGTGATGGTGATGATGATGATAAAGGATTGTGTTTGTTTTAAAAAAATCATCCATTTTTAGATCGATTCAAAAAAAAGAAAAAACCCCTTTTTTTCAAAATAATGAATGTATTATAACGATGTTTGATAATATTTGTGGCGAAAAGTGATTTATATTTCATTATACAAAGGATAACAATGTATTATAAACGTTATATACAATTAAATCATAAAAAAAAATAAATCGAAGATGAATCTTGCGAAAAATAAAGATGATGCTATATATACATAAATAAACAGAAAATACCTTTTAATAAATCAATATATGGACGATTTTCTGAACATTTAGGACAAATGTATTTTTCCATTTCTACAGCCTGTTGTTCGGTGAGATTCACACATTCAATATGACACCTGTAGCAATCAATTACACAGAGTACAAAAAATCAAAATAAAATAGGGACAATATATTTAAAAAATAAATAATTTATTTAATCATCATTGAAAAACCAATTACCAGTCGTTACAGATATCACAGTTAACCATTGTACCATGAGCAGATCTACGACAAATACAATATTCTTTTGTTTTTTCTTTCTTTTGTTTTCTGGTTTTTGAGCGAACTTCTATTCCTGGAGTGGAGCGTTTTTGATTTGCAAAACGGGTACCATAGGAATGTCCTTGTTGATTTTGTTGAACTATTTTAGTAGTCGTCGGTGTTTCACTTGTATGTTCTTTTTGTGGTTCCATTTCTTTTGGCCCTTTTTCTTTTTGTATTGTTTTTTGCAATTGTGCCGATTCTTCTAGTTGTTCTGAAGATTGTCCTAAAGGTTGTTTTTGATGGGACTGTGATAAAAGTGAGGGATCTATAAGGTATTGCGTATCATCTACAGTCGGATTTATCATTATCGAATGTTTACATTTATCAGCCACGTCTGGGTTTATTAGCGCCGGATTTTCATCAATCACTGTTGTGTTCGTTGATATAGGATTTTTGCCGTTATCTTGAACGGAATCAAGAAACGTAGTAGAGGCACACTGTTCTTCCTCCATTGGGTTTTAGTTATGGGTAGATTTTTTAATTGATCTTTTGATCTTCGAAAATCGTGTAACATAATTTATGTTTATCCGTCCAATCATCGAATTTCTTCACATTTTTGAAAATAATTTAGGTTAGCACAGCTCGTAAAGCAAGCTGGCGTAATTTTGCAAATGATAAAAGAAGAAAAGATTTCTGGCCGAGCGATTTTAATGGCTCCTGAACAGGAAAAACAATTATCACAACGGGTATAGTTCTTTCTTTTTTGATAGGGTATTAATATTGTCATTTTAGGGATTAGAAAAAGACATTACATTTACAACGCTTGCAGCTTCAGAGATTTTCCTCATTAGAAATGTCCAAGATAGAGAGGCATTCAAACAAGCTTTCTCTAATACTAATATGGGATTCAATTTTATTTTGTGACTATTCACTATGATTTGCAACACATGTGGGGCAAAAAGGTCCTCTGACCAAATTTAAAAGATTAATTAATCTATAGATATATAAAGCTAAGGCTTTGAAATATTACTAAAAACATATTTTGCAAAGATCGTCAGCCCCTGAAACTCGGAATATTTTTCTATAATAATAATTACTTCTTCATTCTAATATAGTTTTCATGCCAACAGATACATAGAATATTATTCATCGTTGTTAATATTTCAATTATAACTATAATAAAGTTCAACAATGATTTATAAGATGATTAATTTGTATAAATATAAAGGTGTTCATTAAATTTCAACATTATCTTCATTAACCCATTCGTGTAAAAAGTCAAATAAATGTACTGGTTCCAAAACTTAATTTCTACCTTTTACCTTTACCATTATGACCCTTACATTCCTCATATTCAATTGTAAAAAAGATACAACTGTTTATTACTCTTGCATTTGAAAATAGGGGTGAAAAAAACCAGTTGCTTTAACAATGACGATTAAAAAATTGATGATTAAACCCTTAGTCATGATCTTGATCAGTCATAATCACAAGTTACAAGTTTTTTATTGTTTATTAAAGTTGCAAACCAAGAACTTGCTTTATAGGTTTCCTTATTTTCAGATTTAAAAATTTATAACGAAGAAATTAACCAGTGTTTATTATAAATAAATATTTATAACCAGTTTATTTAAAATGATATCAAACTATGATTGAAATATAAGTCTTATCGTTTTGCTTGCTGAAAATTTGCCCTCAATATTGAGACTTTTTTTAGAAAACTTCGACATCTTTTTGCTGGACAAAATTTCTCATATTTAATTAGCAACAACTAAATTTCCAAATATCATTACGTTTTTAATAATGGTGATAATAATTATTCTTTGTTCTTGATGAACAGATGAAGCAATTATTGTAACCTCTTTTACGCAAATTTTACCAGGGAAATTTAAACCACGAAGCTTTATGGTGTAAAAGAGCCATCATGTCTTATAGCACTATCATGTCTTGCTAGCTTGGCGGATCACATATGAAGGTATAGCGAAAAAGCCCAAAATATCTTTAAATGACGACGAGCCTACATTTACTGAAAAAACCCCATATTTTATTAATCATATCTTACTATAACAGTTTCCAATATTAACTAAATGTTTATTTTATCTTTTTATTTTATCAGAAAATTTAAAGTGGTAACGATGACGATGACGACTATGAAGTAAAAATGGTAATTTGTTAAATAACATTCCTTCATTGGAAAAGAGTATCCTTAAAGCTCTAAACGAGCCGAGCTTCAAGCCAACTCGAATTTAATATATAAATAAATTTTGTTTATTATTTTAATTTATTCTAACTAGTGTTGCGACCCGTTAAGACCTTATCCGGTGATTAATGGATTTACCGGTTGTAACGGGTTAACGTTAAGAAATTTTGCATAATAATAATAATATTATTATTATATTAATATTAACAATCCGTTAACCCGTTAACGATAATATCAATATCAATATTAATATTATAATTAACAATCCATTAATCCATTCATTTTCATTCCAATTAAGTGGATTATAACCACCAATTATTTGTTCTAAATTTTTTATTTTAGAAATTACAAAAGTTTTGTGTTATAACATTTTCGTGATTGATTTTAGACCATCTATACTGCTATGATATAGAAATATAGAAGTTTGAATTCATATTTGACTTTTCTGAGTGAAGTGTATGGTGAAATTTTTGTATCAATCAAACTTGCAAAAAACAAAGCTTGCTTTTCATCATTGATTGTTGTTGAAACTATCTTTAATGGCAATAAATTTGAATTTTGTTGTTAATCAGGAGTCAAATAATAATGCGAAATATCTTCCCACAAGCCTCAGGAAATAACATTTGATGTGGCTTAAATTTGTCATTAAATCTCTTGCTAGAGATGCCTCAAAATCTAGTTAAAGGAATGATATATTCTTTAAATTTATGAGTTCACCTTTATTTAACTCTGAATTATCAATTTGTCCAATTCCCCATCGGATAATACAATTCCAAATATCAAATTCAAAACATATTTTTTTAAAATAGATACAAGCATTAGTTCTTTGATATCTTTATAATTATTAGATTTTCTGATGTTTTCTTAATTAAGTTTTCAATGTAATCATTAAGTATATTGAGTGATTGATACTTCAATGAAATTTGATATAGATAAATTCTCCAAAATCCATTCTTTTTCATTTGCAATTATAATTCCATCAGGATTTAATTATCCATATCAATTATTTCCATATCATAAAAGTCCAATTCATTCAATAATCATTACAAGTTTATTGATATGTTTTGGCAAAGGGGGAATATGCTCGATTTTTGTTTTTTTTCCTATTTGTTTAAGCATAACGGAATTTCTTTGTGATTAGTCAATAATGATCGACAAATTTAATAGCCAAAATAAAATTTTTATCAATCGAAGACAATTAATTATGTTTAAAATTAAATCTTTAAAAAGGAATCTTTTATTTTGATGAATTGATAGTAATAAATATTAGTAATGTGTCCATCTACATATTATGTTAATATATATTATATAAGTAAACAATACATGGTGTCCAAATAATTAAATTAATATCTATTAAAAAAAAAATTATTCGCGAATGAACCAGAGAAATGATCAACATTTTAATATAAAATTTTGGTGCTAATTGTTATTAATAAAATAAGAAAATTCCCAAATCTCACCGTCCTCACACGTTAACTTTCATGTCTACACAAAAAGTATAAAGAAAAACTTTAGAATTCTTTCAAGATCGTTGAATACTACTTTAAAATTCTTTTGCAGTTATTTTATTGACTTGACTTATAACAACATGTGGTTCATTTGGTAAAATAAAAGTACTTTAATACATTGTGCTTTATTATTTGTTAAACATTGTCAACTGACGATTCTTTACTATTTTTGCACCGCCGATCACTATAAGAATTCTCTGCTTCGTCAATTAATAAATAAATATTTAAAATGATAAAAATGACATGTTTGCATCTACCTCTAAATGGTTTCATATTATATAACTTAATTCAATTCTTAAATTTTTTCATAAAAATTGAATTTGCAAATAATATTTTAATTCAACTTATCTGTAATATTATCAGGTTCCTTGTCCCTTTTATATACTGTTAAGTTTGTTTTTTTTTCATTAAAATATACAGTACATATACGTATATATTCTAAATCTCTTTATTCTAAATTTCATTCATAATACTGCCATTGGAAAACGTTTGATCAGGTTTGATCAGGGCACGGAGTGTGATAAAGAAGCTTGAAATTTATGTGCCTATAAAAAAATTTTGGATGACTATTGTAAAATCATATAAACAATGTAACAATTTGGAAGTTTAGAAATTCGTTTTTAAAAAGATTAGATAAAGGAATTAATGAACTTACGCCAGAAGAAATCAACAATTTTAATTCAAATGATTCTGATGAAGAAAATAATGAAAATGAGGCGGATCTAAATGTAAGTGCCAAGAAGGTTTATCATCAACGTTATTGAATGCTATTAATGAAATAAAGAATTGGCACAAATTATGTTTTAAGTATATAAACTTAATTCAATAGTTAATTTGTTAAAAAATATTTTATTACCAATTGTTAGCATCTTTATTGTAAAATGGGGCATGCTGCAACAAAACCAGACAAAGTGAACATTGGTATTACCAGAATTTCAGGGATCAAAATTTAGTCATTTGTAATGTGATTATAATTAAAAAGCTTTATAATGTCCCATTGTTATCTTAAATGATATACAGAACTACCCCTATATAAAAATAGTAATATGAAACTCATTACATCAGATCTACTATGGAACCCAAGAATTATAGTACCATCAGAAGTATATATTTTGAAGAAGGAGCAAGGTGAAAAAATTGCATCTTATATTTTCAAAATAAATGGGGCATGCTGCAACAAAACCAGACAAAGTGAATATAAAAAATTGCAGGTGCCCATATTTTAATAGTATGGCAACCTAATAAATATTCATTTAAAGTTTTCAAAATTAAGGATTACAAAAATATTTGTTAAACATTCAATTATCAAGCCAAATTTCTGACTCTCTAAGTTGTGCCAATTTTTTAGTAATTCGCACTTCAGAGTAACGTGTCATACACCTCTTTTTTCTATTAGCAATCAAACCAGCTTTCGTTAAGCAGACACACAACTGTTAGCACAATATTTTGTGATTAGATTGATGCAAGTATTATTATTCAGCAATAAATATATACAAGTATACACTTACCACCCACTTTATAATTGCCTCATACATGTACACAAATTTAGGCATATCTGACCAGTCTCTTGGCAGAGAATAGTGATCAACTTCAAATAATCTATATGTATCTAAAAAGAATATTCAAATATGTTAAGAGGTTATGCCCACACTTAGTTTAAAGCTTCATATCACAATCCATACCACGAAAGTCAAGCATTGTCAACGATACTTCAATTTTGTAGGCTGTCAATCCATAAATTCGCAAATCAGCAAACAATCGATGTCGAGCATTTGCTTCTGCAATAATGATATTATTGTAAAGACGGACCATGCTAACAGCATTCTTTATATCATCTTCATCTTGCTTCTTTCTAGAAGCCCTAGGCCTTGCTCCCTCACCACAAATGAGAGGATAATTGGTGACATCATTCATATAGCCTACTCCATCTGCACGAATGTGTGATTTTTCTGTTTGTAAAGGAATCTCTCCACTATGGAAATTGTATAAATGCATTGATTAGTATGACCAGAAATGCTATTTACAATATTAAAAATCAAATCAATAAAACTACTAGATATAGTTTGTTCTCCCAAATATCCAAAGTGCTGCATCAATTATTGGATGCACAAATCGATTTAGATAAGGTTTCTCTAATGTCTCAAGGTTGCGCAAAGGATTAAGAGCATTTAATGAAAATGCCTTGAAGCTAGATACAATTAATAATAAATCAGTAAATATTCATTAAGAACTTAATGTATTGTAATATTATTCTAACTTACAAATGGACCAAAGTCAGTTTAAGCAGTTTTTTGGTTTTTCCAATAATTTCATGCTCTGTATTACTAACATGTAATGACTCTACTGCAATATCCCATCCCTCTGGACCATGATCAGAATTGAAAAAGTCTGTCAAAAAGGAATGCAGTTCATCGGTGATAAGCACATCAATAGAATCAAAGACTTGATGCAAAATTTTTTCGTGCAGATCTGCGTCAATAGCCAATGAAAATTTCGAAAATGGACGCAGATCCATAATTGATCCCACACCAGTGGAGGACTTGAAGATATCTGCTAATTTTTTGTCAATTGCTGATGCAGTAACCGTCTCTTGAAAAATGTTAGTAACAAATGATACCTAAATAAATAAATATCAATTAAAAGGCTTTATGGATAACAAATTGAAATAATCAAGAAGTGAACATCACAAACATGTTCGTCATCATTGTCTTCATCACTTCCATTCTCTTTATTATCATCCTCGTCACCCTTGTCATCTTCATTATTCTCGTTATCAATGTGTTCTTCCTCGTGTTCCACTTGCACATTCTGTAATAAAAATTTTCCAAAATTTTTGATTGCGAGCTCTTTGATTGTTTTCGAAGGGTACGACCTTACCTTGTTTCGTGCTAAAGAGTTTATTTCTTCGTGAAGGTTTATGCTTGTATTGCGTATGGAACGACGAACTAGGATCTACACACAAACCGGAGTATATAATTTTTGTCAATATTAATTACGTAAATCGAACCATCAAAATCCAGCATCTAGGCATACCGCAGCTTTCTCCTGCATCCATGTTTCCCAGTCTTGTAGCATTCTTGATTCCTATCAAGAAGAGAGCAGGTGTTAGGAGTATTTTACGATATGATATCAAGAATCCTATTCAATTACATACATCCACAACTTCTTTCATTCTCTTGAGTTTGTCTCGTAATTCACAATCACCTGTTTGACGTATGGCCAAGTTGAGCAAATTATGATATTTGTTGGTTGCTTGAACTCTATGTGATGGGAATATGTGTCTAAAGAATGCGATAGGAGTTGGATCAATGCAGGTCAAAATCCAGTTGATGTGGCTTTCTTGCTGCGTTATACCACGCGATACCTTTTTCATTATAAGCTTGCAAGAGAGTAGAAAAATAAAAAAAATTGTAGTTTCTTGTTTTAATTTAACAAATAAGACAATCGTTAAAGCGAGTTGTTCTTCACATAAGACCGGCCATCGCATTTGGATGATGACTTGCCATTTCTGGCTTCCGACAGACTCTCTCTGTCGCAGACGTCGTTTGTGTTTAACATACTCTCCAATGAATTCCATGCAATGAAGTGAGCCGGCCACCGCATTTGGATGATGACTTGCCATTTCTGGCTTCCGACAGACTCTCTCTGTCGCAGACGCTTACTTTCATGCTTAAACAGAACTATTGGTATATTTATAAAGAGAAAAATTCACTTAACCCACCTAGAAAAAAGAACATATATATATGTTTTAAGGTTGGCAAGAACAAACGCAGGAAAGCAAGAACAAAAGAATAAACCATGTAAGTTGGAAAATATAAAAATACCTTTAGAGAACAAAATGGAAATGCCTAAAAAAAACTAATCACTATGATAAAAACACGAATATTTAAAATTTTTGTATTGATTTCTTTGTCTTGACTAACTTTTTTTCCTTTCTAGTTAGTATAGCAATTTTTTAGATTATTGTTTTCGCGTACAAAATTTATTATCCAATTGAATTTATTATTTACTTATTAGTTTAGATTGTTTATCAGCATATTTGAATTTTTTTTTTTACAAAGTCACATGAAATCGCACAATTATGCTATATAGTAATCACGGACCCATATTAATTATGCAATTCAATAAATTTTTATTTTAATTTCAAGAATGTTTAAAACTCTACCATTTTTCAAAACTTGAATCACTGGATGGTATTTTGCAATAAAGGGATTAATGTAAGATTACTATTTGAATTAACAAAAAATTCAAATAATGTTAGTGTCACTAACTTTATCTTGATGATTTTGTCTAATCCATTGGAATATCAAAGTTTGGCTAAATCAACTAATTCATATGTAAAGTCCACCATTACTCAAAAACTCAAAGAAAAAACATTTACAAGAATACATAGAGCATAATATTAGTTTCATAATTGAGCACCCACTAACAATACAATGAATAAACCAAGGCTTGATGCATGTTTCGCAATGTCATTTTAATCTCAAAGTATTAGAAAAAAAAATTTTCACTATCAACTATTGCTCACATAATAGGGTTTCCAATCTAAACCATTTTCTCAAATCCCAAACTAGTCCCATCTGAGCCTGTGCTTTTAGAGACTGCATTGAAGTTAATGTCAGAAAGAGATATCTGGTGTGAATTACTCAAAGAATTAGATCTTACTTTTTGATCTGGTGACATTTTAGATGCTGGTAGTCAAGGTGAACTGGTTGTGAGATTGCTGTTTTTAGGTGCTTGGTGTCACCTTATCTCCTCAAAAAGAGGGAAAAGGCCCAACAATAAGGTATCTATTAAGTAATGTTCATAAGAAATTATTTTCAACATTTATTTGCATGATCTCACTCTTGAATCCATATAAAGGTGTCCTTTTCCATTTGCCTTCCAATCTTGGACTTTCTTCAGGAACTCTTCAACAAAGATTTTCAAAGGGACAAATTTTCACACTTTGAACATTTTCAGATTGGTTTTACCCATTTTGTTATGTTTGATTACATGCCAGATAAGCAAATGTTTACAGGTGACATGCTGCTATAGTTTGCCAACGTAACCAAGAAGGTGTTGATCTAATGATTCCTATTATGCATAAAAATAAAAATGATATCAAGGCAATTATAATTCAGGTATTTCAGATACATCTCTTAGTTTAAATTTATGTTAGCTAAAAAATAATTGTATTTATAGGTCAAAAATTATAAAGATAAGCAATCCAAAAACACAATGAGGAGAAAAGCTGGACCACCACTTTCACCAGAGATTGTTTTCCCTGAAGAGCTAGAAAAATGTATTGGAAAAAATAATTTAGGAATATATTTGAATATTGGTAAAGGAGATGTCCACCTGAATTTGTCATATGCTGAAAAAAATATTAGCTATTAACAAAATTTTTATTTGTATTATAGGACAAGCATATGTGGAAGAACCTTTTATTCAACCATGTTTTTATGATGGGAAAAAAGTTATCTTTGATACTGATCCATCTAGAACAATCACTACTCATTCTCAGTCAACATTTGAGCTACCTGAAAACAAACTTTATAATTGACTCCTTATTGGTGGATTGGGTTCTTTCAATCTTACTGAAGAACACAAAAACTTGTTCTGGAATCTTCTATTTCATGGATTGATCCATTCAATCATACAAAATCATTCAATTATCAACAGATTTTACATCAGATGATGTTTCCTACTTATGGCAAGAAAAGGTAAAGATCCCTTTTCTTTTATTGTGATTTAAATTTATATAATTTGCCTACTAATGATATCATATATTGGATAGGTCATTGGATGATGAAAATGATATGGATATATAGAATGAATAAGAAAATGAAAAAAGGTGAAGATTTGTAAACATCATTTCTAACCAAAATGGTTATATTAGTTTATTTTGATTATTTATTTGACTACCTAATATTAAATACTTGTTTGTCAAATTACTTATTTTTTTTTTATTTTGAATATTATTTATTATGTAATCTAGTTAATTAATGTATGATAATAATAGAATTGCATATGGTGGAGGTTTTTAGATTTAGAATATTAAATAAAGTAATTCATATAAAAATATATTTCTGGCATCCTAATATTAAATTAGGATTACAGAGCCTACAAATCAATTGTTTAAAATGTGTATATATATTTATATTGTATATAGGGATAAGTGTATATGAAAAGTAATAATAAATACAATGGTTCTAATGAATATCAAAAAGCAATTGATTTTTTAGAAAAATGTTGTGATTGTGGTTGTTCTTCAAAAATTCCCAAGGAACAATTTGAAGAATTAAGAGAATCTTTTCAAGCTCTTTCCAAGTCTGAACAAGACATATTTTTGATGGCCCAACTTAAAGCAATGG